CCTTCGCGCACTCTCTCTCTCTCTCTCCCCGTCTTTTTCTTTTTTCATCAGCAGAAGTGACACGTCTTCCTCGTCGTCGAGAACGATTACATCGTGCGCGCAGTTGGGAAATCGTCCCGACGATTCCGTTTAAACTCGCGTAACTCTCGATCGCGGGCATCCTCGTCGTACGATTGACGTTCGCCGGCGATGAATCGTCCCGGCGATTTCGTCAGGGCGAGTACGATCGAGAATTCCCGTTATTACGTATGCCGTCCGAAGCTGAGAGTCATCCGCGCGACGCAATGACGCGCAGGAATATGGTTCTGCGGCACGCACAGGTGTCGCAGGAAATGTTGAAACGTCGTGTTCTCGAGCTCGTGCGAGCACCTTTCTCTCTGTGTCTGTCATTGGAAGTCGTCGTCGGCGGATTCTCCTTGCCCCCGTGTGTAATAAGCACGAGGAAGCCCCGCTCACGCTCGTCACCGCCGCCGCTTCGCGCGTGATTTCGGTCACGCATCGCATACATACGCGTGGCGCGGCCCGATCGTTCAGGAAGTCACGCCATCGTCGACGCTCATATAACGTAGAAAAGCACCAATGCCGAGACATGAACGTAATTCTCATTACCGGGTTGCCCGAAAAATTCGTAGGGATTTTTATCAAAAATTGCAAGCCGATACAGTCGGGCGTAATTTTATTTTTTTCATTTCTTTTTTTTCCGATAATGCGACGTCAAAAAAGTAAGATCATTATGGAAAAGAGTGCATTGTTAATCCAAGTTAAAACCATCTGTAAAAGTGTTGGCTCTGAACTCTTCGTGAAAATCGTGAAAAAAAACTCTTCGTCAAACTTATCAAACAAGCTGGATACTTCGGTTTTTCAATATACGAGTATCTAAATTTCTAACGTAGAATGCATAACATAGTGTGTTCTACGTATTCACACGTTGAAAGTTCAACTATTCGGATTTAAAGGCCGAAGCAATGAACAACGTCCAGAGTTTGGTGTGCGTCTCGTCATTGGTATTTTTACTTCGCTGTCTGTATTACCGCGTCCGCTGGACTACCACACGCGGACGTATCTACTTGACGCGAGTCCTCGCCGACGCGGCCAGCCCTTTCTCTCTTTGGTCCTTGCACGATCGCGAAAAACGGATGCGTCACGGTGACTTGTGAGTCGCGTGAAACCCGCGTGTCATTAGCGTCCTTCGTTAGCGTCGATTGGTTCATGATATAACGTGAAAAGAGCGCGAGAATTGATGCTCACTCGCTCTCGCTCGCGATTCAATCGACGAAATCGTTGCTTCATCCGTGCAAGTTGTGTAATTATCGCGTGATTACAGTCGCTATTGTTAGCGGGATTGCCTAAACACAACGGACCCTATGCGCTGTGATCGCTTGTTTGGGCGAAATATTAATTTCATGTTTGAAAGCGGGAAATTGCGATATTTACGGAAAGAGGAGACCTCGCGCGCCGCGCTGCAAAGTCGCAGTTAAGTCTATCGCGCGCCATTAAACTGCCAGGCTCGCCTCCGTTGTCGCGTGCGTGTTTTTCATACAAATACACCGACTGCACGACGCAGCGTCGCATTCTGGCGCCGATCTGTTTGAACGCGTGCCATGTATGAGGCGTATGAATGAGAAGCTAGTCGTGGAAATTTCAGACGGCGGGAACACGCGCCTGAGCGCAAACGGAAAAGGCGACTCGTCGCGCGCTGCTGTTGCAGTTGCCTATTTGCAGGCGCTATTATTAAATTACGTCTGTCAGAGCATGAGGCCAAAGCGAACGAGAGAGATAAAGAGAGGGAGAGGGAGAGAGAGAGAGAGAGAGAGAGAGAGAGAGAGAGAGAGAGAGGGGAAAAGAGGAAACGATGCTTCTGAATCAGCTGATCGTGCGACGTTGTCAAAATTTCAACTATCCTTTCCATAATTAGCCGAGATAGACGAGTCGCGTAAATTTACTTTCTCCTCCCATCGTTGCATTCTGATGCATTGAATCTTGAATGAACGTCTCGTTAATTTGAAGAACTTAACGAGAGATCCTAATAGCGAGAGCTTAGCCAATACACAGAGCGAATACAATTCCGGTCGGGGGCCGAGGGGTTTCCACTTTCCGGACGTATAAACGAGGAAGGGCTTAGGAGATTCCGACGCGCGAAAATGATGAACGAGCAAATATTTCGCGCGATTGCGCCTGGTCGTGTTTTCCTTGCAGTCCGCTCGATTGACTCGGACCGCGAATTTATTATTTATATCCTCGATGACCGAGAATTCGCAACAGTCGCGGCTTATTGATCGCCGTTCTCGCACGACCCACGCGTATCTTCGCGGGCGCGCTAACGTAATTGCGCCACGTGCGCGGACGCTTTTGCCGCAGCGACAAGGTGCCGTTTATCTCGCCGTCCGGCAAACAGCCCCCCGTGGCCGGCGATTTGCCGTCGTCGGTTGCGAAAAATCGTCGCGAACGTGTCCGGCGACCCGGGCGCGAAGTTTGTTAGGGAAATATTTGTTTTCGCGAAGTGATACGCTCCGCGAGAGCGGCAAAAGCGACGGACGCGCGTAAACAAGAGCCATCGAAATTGTGCCAGAGCTATTTATACCTGTCCATCTATGTTTACCCGGAGCTGCAAAAGCTCGCGTCGGCTCGCCCAATTAAATAACGCTCTCGATAATTTATCGTATCTGCCGCGCGTCTCGCTCGCGCGGACTATTAATTTCGCTTCTCGGCTGCTGGATTACCGGCGTTGCACGCTACGGATGAGTCGCAAGCGTGTAATTGACATCGTCAAATTTCGGATGAAGCGCATCGTCCTCTCGCGCGGGGATCTCAAGCGCGACCCGGGGACGACTGAAATAAATTCCGACGTTCGCGTATTCGCTGCGTTGCTGTTGCTGCTGCTGCATCGCGCAGTGCATCGTTATTTTTCGCGTCCCATGCATCCTCGGACTTGCGTGTCGCGGAGCCTCGGAGAGTTTTATATCTCCCGAAACGTAAACCGCAGACCCCATTTTCGTCGAGTGCGCACATATGCGCGCGCGCGCACGCGTGTCTTGGCGGCAACGGCCGGTGTGTTGTTTCCAGTCGCTATCGAGAAGCTAAATATTGCACTAGAGTGGCGACGAGCGCGTTGGGACGACCCCAATTCTCTAAAAGCTTTTTTAAATTTTCAATGAGCTGACTTAACCGACCGCCTGGGAGGGCTTCAATTCTCATAGCGTAACTTCTCGTCAGTATGGATAATCCGAGTTCCTCCGCGCGGCCGTGGAGGACGCGCAGTACGCTCCGTTTCTCCTCGAGCTGGTCTCCTCCTGGTCGCACGCAACCTTACGTCGATTACGGAGCCCGGGGAAATCTCGGTTGCGTGTTTCGCAACGAGTGAAACACCGTAGTATAAATTTCTTTGTTAAGGATCGACATATTTCTCATTTATTCCTTTTTCACTCTTTCCTGAAACTACGAGCTAGCAGCTGAAAGCAATAATCTTGCTTTGTTACGTTCGCGATCAACAGAATTTGAACTTCATAACTTACACCCGTTGGGAAATCAGTCAGTTTTCGTGAGAATTGTAGCAACATCGTCTTCGCGACCAAGACAACCTTGTTGCAAGGAGGAAAAGAGTGGAATAGAGATAAGATATACGAGAAACATTGGAGAGAAAGAGTGCGACAATTTCGGCCCATACGGGCAGATTGAGAGAGGCACTGGCCCCGCGGCACGGCGGCAGTAACGAGCGAATTCGCTGGGCTGCGACGGTAATCGAATTAAAACGTCGGATGTAATTAGCGCGCGAAGAGGCGCCGCGCCTCCTGTAGTACGCTCACGCAGACGTGACTTCTCGCAAATTGACCGAATCGGGCTCGGTCCGGGCTTCGGTGCGACTCCGCTTTATCGTCATAAAGCGCGCTTAAAGCTGCGTGTGTGCATATCCACACGCCGAAAATGCTGCAATGCGACAGCCGGATCGCGGATATTTTTCTCGCGATCAATTCGCCCGAGTGTTGTTCTCGCGGCGTTCTCGTGAACGCTTTATTTGATTAATGCACGACCCGCGCTTGTCTGTCTATGTTCATCTGGCGATCCTTGCGTATACTACATGTCGGGGAGCGCGCGAGATTTCTACACGGCGATGCTTTCGTTTCCGCGCGCGTCTCCTGCGCGCTCCTATATGGATATTTCCGAGAAGAAGCGAGCAACGTAGCGTGTTAATGAGCACTTTTATGTGCTACGTGAAAAAGAAAATCCAATTCTTGCAACTGGACCAAGAAGACCAGGCGGAAACTCGGCCGGGGGAAACGATAGCTCTGTTATCCGTCTAAACATTCAACTGCGTTAAAATCGCGTTATCTCGCTGGAGATAACCGAGAACAATCGACTGGCATTAATAGAGACCTCCTGCAGGAACATTGCTGTTCCCACGAGCGAATTTCCGTCTCCGTCCTCCGGGCAACGGAGAAAATTCGGTTACACCGATCGAGTTTCTCATTTTGTGGTAGAAATGAGAAGAAAGGAAAGAGAGGGGGGAGAAAAAATTTTAATTTTAACCCGACAGCGCGTACGAAAGTGGACGAAAATTTGCTGGGCAAGCAATAATATGATAAGACAAATAAAAGCGTCCGTTTGGACGTTATCCAGCCGAACGTGAGGAACACGCACTACTCAATGAATTGCATGTTCGTACGTTGCGAATTGAAACGTCGAGCACGCGAGGTCGCTCGTCGAATTCCGTTAAAATGCTTGAAGCGCTCCGCGGAAAACTGTGTGTTCCCCACTCGTAGAGAAATTGCCTGTCCCGCACGGCTCAGCGGCCCCCCTCCCCCTTCCCCCTCCCCCTCAGAGGAGGCAGAGGCCTGTTCTCAACTCGGCAAGCCGGCACATCCAGTTTTATTTGATATTTTAACCTGCGTTTTATTTTATATTTTATATTTTTACCTAACTTTAATTTCTATTCAAGCTCCCGCCGCACGTAGCTTGCATGCGTTCTCATCACCTTTTGTTTTGGATTGTTTGTTGCATCTCAGGTCCAGGCGAATGTCGCAGGATGTCACGACGTCAAGATCGACGGATAATCTCACATCGTCTTATTACAGGTACGTGCACACGCATATGCGCGCACACGCGCGATCGCCCGTCGGTACGTTTCGTCGGCACTTGTTCTTTTGTTTCTTCTTGCGCTTTTTCCGCCCCTCATCTTCCCATTTATCTCGAACTCGCACGGCACGAGCTAGACGTTGCAAGTAGTCGCGATACGCCCACGTTGACATGGTCACGTTTACGTTGAGGAATTGCGTTTATGTAGAGCACGTTTGCGTAGAACCGCCGCTTGAGACGCACGCGAGAAGCATATAATTGATAATGCATGCGGGGGACACTTGAAGAGCGAAATCTTAATAAGTTTCTCGCGCTGGAAGTTCTTCTCGTCATCGACGGTAAGTGTGTGTGTGTGTGTGTTCAGCGATAAGGGCTGATCTTAAAAGAAATCACGCACTGAATCTCTTTAAGGAGACTGGAGGGTCAGATTGCTGAAAAATCGTGCTTGTTTTTGATAATATTCTGTGACGAACTAAATAAATGTGCAAGAATAAAAAGTTTAGATATATTTATATACAACATATGAAGAGTAGAAAAATTGTTTATTAACAAACTCGTATAAATATACGATATATATAGCTGAAATATACTCTCCTTTTTTTTTTTCAAGTTATCGTTTTTGCAGTAATATCTCGGCTCTCGGTAGTCCGATCAGAGCGAATTTTAGCTAGAAATCTTGAGGAGGCTTATCATTCTCCGGTGAACCACTAGAAAAAAAAATCGAACAAAATGGCAGCTATTATTAGGAAAAAATTCAAATTTTTCAGTTCTTTTACAATAAAAAAATTAATATCTCGAAATGAAATATTTTGACGGAGTTGTTCATGGTTCACCTGAGAGCCACATGAACAAATATTATTGTTTTAAAATTTCAAATCGATACGAAGCTGAGTTTTGGAGAAATCACTGCAAAAAATTGAACAATAAAATTTCGAAAAAAAAACACGTTTAAAATTTAAATGGACGTATATTTATATGAGTATTTGTTTAAAAACCAAATTTTTCTCCTCTTCATATGTTATATAAATATATGTAAAATTTTCATTCTCACACATTTATTCTGTTGTTCGTCACAAAATCATTATCAAAAACAAGCATGATTTTTCAGTAATCTGACCCCTCCAGTCCCCTTAAGTGTGTTATTGCATCGACATTTCCCCAGCTGATTCGCAAACATTTAATTCCTTCGCGATTTGCACGATATTTCGCCGTCTGATTAACGTGACTGATCACGTGGTGCTTACAGCGATACATTCGTGTCTGATCTGAAAAATAAGAAGACAGGCTTGTAGGATCGGCTGTGACGGGGAACGCGACACGTTGAGACTCGCGGGTCTCGACGATCGCGAGGTGTCAAAGCACCGTGAAAGCACGTCGTCAGGAAACGAGTTGACGAGCACCGTGAAAAATCCCGACTGGTACGTCCGAGATCGGTCTGTGCCTCATCGGAGGAAATGGTGCGACAACAGCCATGCGGGGGGGGAATACCAGCGGCTCGCGTTCATTCGTCGCGCGACGTTGTATCGCTATTGTCGTTGTCGTCGTCGACGACGCCGTCGCCGTCGCCGCGACGTAACGCGCGCGCGGGTTCATTCATCGGCCCTCCCATTCATGCGCCTTCTCCTCTCCCCCGTTTCTTTTTTGTCTCGGCCGTTTTACGACGGCGCGTCGCGCACCGTTGCGTTATTCAAGCCCATTCGCGGAAATTTCAAATACGTCGGGAGCTTTATCTGCGACGGCCACGCGCGTCGTCTGTGGACCGCCACCTCCATCATCGCCATCGTCACCACCTCCGCCCAGCATCGGCGCACGACTTACGAAGGTAAACCCGGCGGCACGGTACATGGCATGGTTCGTTGCATCGTGAAATTGTGTGAAATTGTTGTTATGGCTCGGCGAAATTGCCTCTACATCTAAAACGTTTACAAATAGCGCCGCGGCGAGCTATTAGCGTATTCACGCAGCCGCGTATCCCGCAAATACGCCCCGCGAGAATACAATGTAAGTGGACTTTTCGGCCTGTGCGAGCTGGGCCCGCTCGGCTATTTCCGAGCGCGTGTGACTCGATTCTTCAGCGGAACAAATTGCAAATAGAAACGCGTTTTACACGCAGATAACCGCCTCGTGACACGGTATCTCGCGCATTCGTCTCCTCGTGCCGCGCGAGTTCTCCCTTTTTTTTGTTGGTTTTTGCTTGCTCCTATTTTACGACGCAGCGTGTTGGGATGTTCGCTGAATTTTCGGGCGAAAGCGCGGCCGCGAATTCGCCGAGGGCGAGATTTTCGATTTTTCCGGACGGACGCGCCGCGCCGGGCGATTTTTGAGAATCAAAGTCGACGACGAGCGTGCGGCAGCGTGAAACTGCGTTTCTCTCTGCCGCTCGTTCTTGTTTTATTCTCCCATTCTCTTTCAGCCTATCTCCGCGGATTCCGCTTCGTTTGATCGAATCTGTTGCGCAACGAGTTACCGACGCGATATCAACGAGAGCGATGTTAATTAACGATCACGTTTATTCCATTGCAGGAGCAAGAGCCGTAGCGTGGATCACGGATTTACGGCGCCTTTCGACTTGGATTCCTTGCGGAACAAGGTCGAAGGACGCTTCGAATCGGTGGACAAGCTGTCAAAGGGTAAGTGTACTTTCTTATTCATCAGTCAATTAAGACAGGATTAGACGAACACACGATTCCTTTTTATCGAATACTCACCGACGTGCGTACTCGTCTCATCTTACTCGCAAATGTCGCCGCAAGACACGATCAATCGTTGCAAAATTCACACGAGTCGACCTTTTTGCGAATAACGAGCCACAAGCCTCATTTTTCGCTCAGGCGAGAGATTGCTTGAACGAACGCGGCAATGAACCATACATTTCATTGTCTCAACCCGTTTCCTCCGGGTGTAACAAACAAAAAAAATAAATAGGAAACTCCAAAACATGCTTTGCTTGCCCGCGGTTCTCGTTAAGGGTAATTTACACGCTTATGCTACTCTTGACCGCTTGACGCTAGTTTCTTTTGTCGCCAGCTTCTCGCTTTTCGAGAGCGAATTTCTGGCTGACAAAGTCGCTAGCGTTGGAGCATTTACACGATGCTGATAAACAGCGTGTTTAGTCGCTAGCGTTTTAAGGAGAATTTTGCGGAAACGGTCAATTAAAAAGATCATGGCGTCAAGGAATGACATAGTTCAAGCTGCTGTCGTGCTTTGTGCGCGACAAACTCTTCAAGCAGAAATTCGTGGCTCAGTAACAAAATCAAAAAAACAAAAAGAAAAAAGAATGTGGGTGCGTAAGTGGATAGGTAGAAGATTAACTCATGGAGCATCAAATAATCTTTTCAAAGAATTGGCATTGGAGGATCCAACCGCGTATCGTATAAAGTATTGCGATTAACGTGCGAGAAATTTGCAGAACTTTTGAAAAAGGTGTGCATCCGCTTATACAAAAACGAAAAGAAACAGTTTAATGTCACTTGACGCGAGCGGTAAAAGTTGGATATGTCCAACTTTGCCATAGCGACTAATAGACGCTGCGTCTGCCAAATTTTAGACTCTAGCGAATAAAAATCGAGCGTCTAGAAGAAGTTTTCACCAGCGAATTCGCTGGCGACTCAAGAAGCTTGCTCAAAGCGAATAAAAGCAGCATCGTGTAAATCACCCTTTACACGGCAAGTCTGAGGATGCGCTTCTCCCCCCGCGTCTGGAGAACGTCGCCTCTCACGACCACCGACCGATGCAGCCTGTCGTGTTCGAGGAAGCTAATAATAAAAGGCGCGATGTTCATCTCGCCGCGGAAGCCTCGGCCAGGCGACGTCTTCCACGACCGCTCGGCCGAGAGGCTGCGGCGGCCGTGACGAGACCACACGCGATCCGCAGCGACCGGCCCGTGGAAGGTCCCCGGGATCCCCCGGGTGTGTATTCCTACGTGAGCTCGGTCGTGCGCGCAACCTTACTCGGGCGAATCACATTGACTTACTTTCCCGAACTGGCACAAGTGCCACGTGTGATCGATCGATCGCTCGCTCGCGGGCACTCGGTATCGACGCGCGTTAGCAATGCGCCGCCGCGCCACGCCGGCGGCGGGTTTAATGAAGACTAATTGACGCGCGGTATTAAGGATAAAGTGGAACCGGTAATTAATGAAGCGGCATCCCGATCCGGAATGCGAGATCGGCGCGACCGGATTATGGGCAGGTGGCGAAACAGCGCCGCGCGTCCGCCCGCCCGCGCACGCTTTTTAATCGGCATGAATCATTCAGCCGCGATGCATAATTTATGGAGTCGCTTTGTGCGCGAGGCGCGAGGTACACCGGATTAATCGTTGTACGGAGCAGCAGCAGCAGCAGCAGCAGCAGCCGGTGGTGGTGGTGGTGGTGGTGGTGTGGTGGACGCTCCTCCGTTGTCTAGCGCGGCGCTCTTTTGCCGTCGTTTTCGTTTTTCGTCATGCGCTTGCATGCATAGACCGCGTCTTCTTATAAGACGAGAGACTTGAAGACAAAGTATAAAGGACAACGGTATTCCCTTTCCGCGGACAGCAAATGCTGTCTTCGTCTGAGCTTTGTTCGATAAGAATGAAGTTAGACAAGGATCGACTGCCTGGCAGAAGAGCCATTCTTCTTTTCAAATGCAGGCTTCGCAGTCTCTCTCGGGAAGTGCTCAGTCTGTGTACAAAAGTCTAAGGTTTTTGTAACGTGCACGTATGCGTCATGTTAGGTAATAATTGCCGCGTGCGAAAGCGTGGCACCTTACTCCACGCGGCGTAATTCCGTCGCAGTCCGGTCGGATCAGCGCGCCGGACGCGATCGGCCGTTTATTAATTTACGAATTATTAATAATTCTCGTAACATCGATAATGGCAGCGTAGTTGAAATACATAGCGCGAATTTTATCGCTCTCGCATTACGCATTACGCCGCGGGTCGGCGAGCAAAAAGCGATTGCGCGAGGCTCATTTGCGTAAAGATACATATATTCTCGAAATTATCCTTTCAGAGAACATTGGTCCTGTATTATAATGCAGGACCCTTTCGGCCTCGTCTCGTTTACGTACTTTATGCCGCGCCGCGTCACGTCACGTGACGCTCTTATCGGCCGGCGAACGGTCTTGAAACGCGCCACGTCCCGATAGATGGATGAGTCGTCCTCGTCGTCGCCGTCGCCGTCGTCGTCTATTTCCAATGGCGAAATTGCCGCGAAAATTTAGATTCCGTCCCGGCGGAGCCGTCGTGCGAGCAGTTTATTAAATCCGCTTCGAGCACACGCGAGTAACCCAGATACCAGCGCGGACATTTAAATCATCCGTCGGGGCGCAGCTTTAATGGGAGCCCAGCCAAGGGTCTGCCGAGGGACAATTGTTTCCAACTATCGTCAGAAATTTATCTCATTACCTCGCGTCAGCCGCTCGCGGAATTGCACGTCTGAGAAGTAATCCGCCGGCCAATCTAGCCGCTCCTGCGCTCCAGGTTAATAGCGTTCGCGGCAACGTATTATTAATTAAACGGGTCGGGCGCGAGGCGGGGTAGAGAGGATTGGGATCGCTCTTCGTCTTCCTTCCTTTTTACCTCAGCTTGGCAGCTGATCCTCTCTGTTCTTACCTCTCTATCGTCGCGAGCGCGAGAGATTTATTTGTCAAGATTGAAAGTTTATATCCGATCGAGAGCGAGAGCGAATCCCATCGTGTGCGGATACTTCGTCTCGTTTCTCGACTGATAATTTAATTTCGTTGGTGTTTCGGCGTTTCGTTAGTTGTCGGCTACGTGGACGATTTCAATTCTCCCGGCTCACTCGGCGGAATGATCGTATCGGCTGGAATCCGTCCTCTCAGACGGGAAAAAGTCGGGAGGAAAATCGCGAGCCGGGGGGCATTCGGTGCGCGATGCAAACCGACGATTGCATTGACGTTTTTACTGCCCCCTACCCTCCACCCCGTCTGTTCTCTTTCTCCCTCTTTCTCTCGTCAGTGTGTACACACGTGCGACTGTTTACATTGTAATGACACTGGTTGCGCGTGCTGTGCAAACGTTTATTTCCGATTGTAACATACACGAATATCTCAGCGCGCGTTTGCGGTCTATATAGGCTATGAAAGTTTCTTGGAAGCGACGAAGCCGGAACGAGCGGCGACGAAGAAACAAACTGGCGATGGCGCAAACCTTCCCGTCGTGATTTATACATTCCGCTTGGTCCCAATCTTCTATCTCCTCTCTCTCTCTCTCTCTCTCTCTCTCTCTCTCTCTCTCTCTCCTCTCTCTCTCTCTCTCTCTCTCTCTCTCTCTCTCCTTCTCTATTGGTTCTCTATTTAAGTATCCCGCTTCTGTTCGTTTCCTCGTGGCTCATATCGTTTCGATCATTCGCTCCTCGATCGTTCGCACGATCCATTTTACGACCGGACGAATTTTAGACACGCATCCGAAAAGCAGCTTGAGGCTGAGGAGCCGCGAATGACACGATACCGAAAATAGCGATGATATTATTAAGAGCCGCATGATTCGTTTTTAGTTTTGTACTGTCTCTTGCAAAGCATCGTTGTAGCGGTAATGATATAAAAATATTAATGACAATTTTACATACAGTCGATCAACGAGATACTTTGCGAGTGTCACTTGCAACGCGCTGGCTCGGGTCTGGTTATCCTATCAGAGTTCCTCAGATTTTTTAATCGTCAGGCGGGGTCGGTCGCATCGTGCCTCTTAATGATGAAGTTGTTATTGCCACCACGAGATTATTAGCGTTCTTCGTTTATGCATGAGATTACACTCTCAAGAGTCTGTAAGATTACATTTGTTTCTTATTCATGTATTCGCCGCCGCAACGCGATGGCTTATACCCGCCACATGTGACGACTGGCGTGCAAATGTCGAACACCTCTGTCATACGGGAACATTAATTATCTCAACGATTCCTTCTCCCTTTCTCTCCGCGTTTCTCTTCGCCGGCCTCACCTTATGCAACGATAACGATTGTTACAGTCAACGTAGTTACGTCGTTACGTAGTTACGGTAATCGAGAACGATCGACGGAAATAGAATGTCCCGTTTATCGCGCATAATTCCCCACACACGTACGCACCCGGCCATCAATCCGGCGATCCTTTATAATCCCCCTTATATCCCCCTCCCGGGAAATATCGATCACCGAGAATTTCGCGAGGCCGTCGTTTGGCCGTCCGCGATATGATCCTTCCGAGAAGCAATCCCGTTTCTAACAGATATCTCACAGCTAATCGCGCGTCGCCGTGTATCGCCGCCGATAAAGAGAGCACATGGTGCACGCGCGCGCGCGCGATTCAATAATCCCGCCAAGTGACGTCAGCGCGATCCATCATGGCGATCAGTTACGCCGGCGTAGTCGCGGCGGCCCGTGCGTCGCGGCATTCGTAAATCGCGCGGTGTCCTCGATCGTCCGCGCACCGGTCGATGTCGACATCGCCCGGACGTGTCTCGTGATCGCGATCGTTCCTCTCTCGGGCTCGGAGAGATCAACGATCGGTGTGTAATATTCCACGGGAACGACGACGACGACGACGACGACGACGACGACGACGACAATCAGCGAACGAGCGGGTGTTAATAATCGCTCACGTGACCGCGCGACGACGCCTTGACGAGCAGAGTTTCAGTCGCGCGCGCCGTTCGCCAAGGAGAGATCGTCGGATCTTTCGCACGCCAGGATCAATGCGGAATTTCTATTTCACCGTTGTCATCGGTCTGCTGCGATAAGAGTATCGCCGTCGGGCGGGCCGCGGTGTTTCGCAGTGAGTAGTTTCTCCATTTGCAGTACGTTATCGGCCGTCGTGAGCGCATCCTCTCGAGCGCTCGCTCGCGCGCGTTACGTGGGACGATGGAGAACGCGTGCAACGTCGACTGCCAGTCGCGTATGAATCATGAAGTTCCGACCGAACTTTGATAGAGTTCAACGGTTATAGAGAAAGAGAGAGGGCGAGAGAAATGGGAAAACAGATTCGCCGTAGAAATCATGAATATTCGGCTAAAGTTACTAAAAGTTGCGGGATTCGTCGTTTGCGCGACACGCGTTTCACACACGTCTTTATCTTATTTCTTTTCTTATGTCTTTATCTTACTTTGTAAAATGCTGTTTGTCACGGGTTCTCGCAATTCGCCGAGCCGTTTAATATTCGCGCGCGATTCTCATACGATCCGCAAAGATGCGTAAGTTTGTTGGCGCGAACAATTTTGCACAGCGAAGCCGTGAATTGTTGGTCGAGTACATCGCCGGTTCCAACGCTCGCAATTAGGCTTCATACACGGTTGGTTCTACAATTGACACCTGTCCGCGACGGCAACCGAGAACAATGACGCATCATTCCAGTGTCAGTGGTCGATCGGTACTCGCGCGAACGAATACCGAGCGCGTGAAAACGGTCATTGGTTTCTCCTCCGGCGATTCCTAAAAAGAAAAACGTGAAAGAAAAAAAAAGACAGAGAGAGAGAGAGAGAGAGAGAGAGAGAGAGAGAGAGAGAGATACACGACGATACTCCTCCGACTCGCAGATGTCGACGATGGAATTTGACGTGTCGGTCATGATGGGCTCGCAGTGGGACTACGCGGACGAATACGCGGACTACGAGCCGACCAACATCCACATCTACGAGAAGGAATTTCGCGACTACGTCGTGTATTACGTGGCGCAGGGAGATTCGCGGCTCTTCCTGAGTGGCTTACAGCACGCCTCGAGCACAGGTATTGCGGAGACGCGAAAGAGAAAAACGAGTATAAAGCTAAATATCGTGACGCGCTGTCGGCGAAAAACGCGCGAGCGAATGAGGGAGAAGGAGAGAGAAAGAAAGAAAGAGAGAGAGAGAGAGAGAGAGAGAGAGAGAGAGAGAATGTGTGTGTGTGCATGTTTTCGTCGGTTTCATTAACTTGGCAGTCTCGAAAGCGGTTTCCCGCGAGCGACTTTCGCTCCACGTGTCTTTTTCATAACTTTCAAACGCGCGAGCCGATTTGTTTTTTCGCCTCGCCGGCGAGTTATTCGCGATTCGGCCGGCGCGTCGTAACACTTTTCGCACAAGATGGGGGGGATGGGGTGGGAGCAAAGGCTTTACGTCTCGTTTGTCACATCTTGTTTCGCGAAGGAAGAGAAACGGCTGTGTTTCTCCGCGGGACGAACACGAGTTGTCGTACTTTGGAAAATTAATTCCGACGTTTCCGATTTGTTGGCTAGATCGAAGCCCAACTCGTGAAACTCGTTCTCGTGAAACAGACTGAGAAGCAAGACGGAATTACGCTCGCGCGTCGTCCTCGAGGCGCGAGACGCGGCGGAGTATGCAAATTCGTAAAAGTCAAGACCACGCGTGCGCCCGGCGAGGCGCCTCGTCGCGGCGTCGTCGCGACCGCGCCTCATCCCGAAGATTTATTACGCAATGGCGGGAATTGAGCAAAGTGTCTGAATCATTTATCGAAGGTCACGGAGAAAAACAAACCTTTCAGGCCTGTTTTCTTCGCGTCGAGCGACTACTACTCATACTCTCTCGTCACGCTCGCTCTCGTGTAACGATAGAAAAAAATCTATTATCCCCGTCAATCGCGCCTCGCGCGCGCGCGCGCGCTCGCCGCGGGGAACAATAGGAAGTGTGCGGGACCGGTTCTATGATATTCGAAGAATCCGACATCGGTGCTTTTAACAGTCACTCCATAATTATAGCAGTTCCCGCGATCGCGGGATAACTGAAACAAAGCCGGGCTTCTATTTTGCGAGACGACGATGTCCCCTGTGGAATCCTCGGAGTATCCCTACGCGTTCAGGAAAGGTTGACGCGTCGCAATCGATAGTCTCAATTTGCAGTTAAGTGGCCGATGAGATTGACGGATTCGAAGCTGAATGATCGATATATCCCCTGCGTTCGCATGAGCGTGTTCACTCTCACGCTGCCATTGCAAAACGTGAATAATTCAAGCGAGAACGTATCGTGAACGAAAAATGAGGGCCGCGATTCAATGTAGATCTCACGAAGAGGTAAAAACGCCGCCACAGATCGTGGCTATTGAGTGTCGGCTCATGTTTGTTTACAAAAGGCGAATGTTATTCTCTCGAGGAGAAACAAGAGGAGACGATGACGACGGGGCCGTCAGGCTAGGAGAGCGTTGTAACGTCGAGAAATCTATCGCTGGACTCATCGCGGCCGTCCCACTCGTGATTTTCACTCGTCTTATCGCCACATCGAAAGTGATTATTATCGATAAGCAGCCGGGCGATCGTGCGGTATGTTAAATCGAACGATAAAGTTAATTTTAGCAATTCGCAGAGAGGTCTGTCATTTTTCTACCTCTTTCGTTCGCGAGATAACCATGCAAATTCTTGCGGTAACATGTGCGGCGCCGCGATAAGAAACTTCTCGGACATCGTGCTTTTGTTCCGATTGTGGATATTTTCCAGAGCAGAGCTCGCCAGCGCGACGCCGCTGAAAAATGCTCCAATTGAAGCAATGATTAACCGCGTTTGTCTAATGTGCCGCGTTCGCTTCTCCTCCTCCTCCCCCCCCCCCCTCGCGCTTAATAACTCTTGCGCGAGTCGTGTCACGTGCCCGCTCCTTCGTTTATTAGCAGCGCACCGTCCGTCGCTCTCGCCTGCGCGCACCCATCGCTGATACGCTGACCGCAGGGTGCGGTACGTTCTGCTCGGCCGTCCTGGCCGCGGCTGACTAATGCCGGCGGACCGCGGGAATTAAATTGAAGCCGTCGTCGCTTATCTCCTCGTCGATGTCCGCCGCGGAGAGATCATTGTCGCGAGATACGCGAACAATCGTGGGCTGCGCGTGAAAATACTACAAGCGGGCATGAGCGATGTTGTCGCGCGACGATAATTGCACGTGCGAACAAGTGCGACGGAGACACAACAGCAGCGTCTCGATGCCCGTCAAAGCAGAGGCGACTCTCTCGCGGGATGGGAATGAACGAAATTCGGCTGTGGCCGTGATGATAATAACGACATACAACCCTTAAAGGCTACCATGGATGAAACTTCACCCCATGCGAATTTTGTTTTGTTCTTGTTAAATGTAAAATTATCCGCCGCGAACAATAACTTCTCTACTTTTCATGTAATATTCAATAATAAAAAAAATAAAACATTCAATTTCATTCGTTTGATTCTTTTATTTTTGGAATGAAAAAATATATTCCGGGGTGAGATGACAGTGTCTTAACGTGATCTTTGATGGTAGCCTTTAAGCCTTTAACAATGATCCATTAACAGAATGTGATAGAAAAGAGAAAAATACGTAGTCTGTTGTTTGAGATTTTAAGTATAATTAAAGTATGGATTGTTCTTGGAAAAAAATGTGACAATGACACGTCCTTATCGAATCGAACGTTGATATCGTTGATACTTATTAGAAAAAAAGTGCACGAAAACAAGCGAGATTGAGTAATGAGGCAAGTTAATCTCGTAATTACTGCTCTTCACTCGAGCGGGCGCTTATTGATATTGATATCGACGATGGACTCTGGCGTCCGTGAATAATCGATAAAGATCGCTCGGTGTACTCGTCGAAGCCTAGTGTGACTTCACGTGTTGCGAAACAACACATTGTATAGTAAGTAGTCCCTCATTAGAGATGTGCGAATCAAGAATTTTTATGTCGAATCGAATCAAATCTCATTTTTTAACTTCGAATTCGAATCGAATCGAATCTGTGAAATTTCACTCGAATTCGAATCGAATCGTTAAAAAATTTAACATGACTATTAAACATGCAAATAATGGTGGAAGATTTTAATATAAAAGGAAATATTGATATTGTAATATCATCTTAAAGTAAAATATATATTTAAATATTTAAAGTAATTTATAATTAAGTTATTAATTATAAGTTAAATTAATTACAAGTTAAAGGTTCAAACATGCATAACAGGCCAAGATGGCCCGTTTTGTAGTGCTGATGCACGCAAACGATAATGTATTTGATTCCTATTCGAATTATTCGGATTCGAATCATCAGGGATTCGGATTTGAATCGAATCGAATTACATTAGATTCGATTCGAATTCGGATAGTTCGCACATCTCTATTCCTCGTGTAATTCGCGCGCGTTTTGCGACAGCAAACTTCTTGGTCTATCGTCGTCGCATTCGTGGTACTCGGTGTTGTGTCGTTAGATGTTATCTCGTTGTCGACAATAATGACTCATGTTCAGCGATAATTTGGTAAATGATCTCCCGACGATAAATGAGATAGTTTTAAACAACCAGCAGCGCAGTGTGTCATACAACATCTTTGCTCTGAATCCATTTTTCAAGCAAATATTCACGCGATATGTCGAATCTAACTTGAACTTCATCGGTTTACGTGGAATCGTGTGTGAAGTGTGAACGCACACTTTACGGCTGAAATCGAGGAGTAACGATAAGATATCTACCAACGACGGCTATCTCGGATAAATATGCACGTTACATAACGCGGCGCGCTCTGTTTATCAACACACTTCTCAGCGTTTCGCGAGAAATGTGATCACGTCTGCTTTCTTTTTTCGCACGCAGATTCCGACAGCGAGAGCAAGGATGGCTCGACGGTGCAGGAGAAGAAGCACGGCCGCGTCTCCCAGCCTATCAACACCATTGCCTACACGGTGAGTGCAATATATATATGTATGTGTGTATGCATATTAAGCGCCATAATTGAGCGCATATTAAGCTCCGGCATGCGTAGCGCGATGCACTTGCACCATTCCGGCGAGCAATCGAGAGCCGAGACGAGAGACGATTAGCTACCAAGGAGAATAAATGTAACCTTTGCTCGAACGCGTAAATATCCGTTATCCTCGCAGTTGCGCCGCGCGAACGTGCCGTTTCCTCGTCGAGATGAAAACGATAGAAAACAGTCCCGATATTCGAAGAAAGGTAGAATTCGAAATGTAACACTCGAGGTGCACTTTTCGGCTGTCTGTCTGTAAAATCAATCGAGCGGCCAGATAATTAACGAAAGCGATTGCAGCGAAATGGCAAGAGTGCGTCGCGGCGCGAAGAATGAATTTTTCGAAGGCCGCGTCAATTCCACACGTGAGAGAATTGGAGTCTAGAAAACTGAACAGGTCGAACACTTTTACGTAACAATGACGCTCGCCGTAGCCTCTCCAAATTTTTTCCACATTTTTTTGCGATATAAAATAATTTACGTGGGAAGCAGCGTGCTAGCCGGACAAAATAATTGGTCCGCGCGAGGATCTCGACTCGTTGGCGGGAAGTCGCGCTTTGCTTACGTTTCGTGGGGAGAAAAGAGGGTCGCCCCTGAAGAATCTCTCGACGCGGCATGTGAGGAGTTAACCGCGCGCATCGACTCGCTCTTCGGTTATCAACCGCGCGCGTTCGCTGGCTCTCGACGAAACGCTTCGACACGAATTCCAATTACTTCGCGCGCAAAGAGCGGGCTCAGACCTTCGTTAGCGAGATAGTTTCTCTCCAGAGGGTCGCGCTCGTGGCGCGACCGAAAGGTCGGCGAGTTCGCCAAAGACCGCGGACACCCGCTATGCGCACTCGGCGAACTTTGGAGACACGGGTGGCGGTGGGACTCGCGCATCGCTAAGATTCTGGAACAGTGTACACGCTAGGATCGCGTACGACTCTCGAGACGGTATGTGTCTGTCGCGCGCAAGGTCGGGATACTTTCGTATCGAGCGATCTGAATCTCGCTCTTCGAATCTCCCGCTCGTCGTCGTCGTCGTCGTCGTCGTCGTCGTCGTCGTCGTCGACCGTCCATCTTCGCGACATATCTAACGTTTCACTCACGAGGCCTTGATTCTCTCTCTCTCTCTCTCTCTCTCTCTCTCGCTCTCGCTCTCTCTCTCTCCCCCCCTCTCTCTCTCTCTCTCTTTCTCTCTCTCTCTCTCTCTCTCTCTCTCTCTCTCTCTCTCACACACACGTGTAGATGTCTAATGTACGATGATGATCGACTTGTCCTTCGCTTTTTCGATCTTCGTGACTAACGTGCCGAATTCGGAGATTTTCATCGATCGTAACGTCAAGAGAAATATAACGTAAGATCTTTTTTTCTTGTTTCGTTCAATTTAACTCGTTGTCGATCGTGTGTCTAGTTTAGCACACGCAGTAAATTGCGTCTTGTATATAAATTAGACGAATGTACGGTGTGGTGTAAAAAGTCGTCGCTCATCGATGACCCACCGGGACGCGGCGTTTAACGCGTCGCGCTTTTTTATGATAGGAAAAGATATCTCTTTTCCTCCTCGAGACAAATTCATAAGAATTTGTCAATTTTCCTTAATAGGCAAGTGATTCGTTTTCTCCGTAATTGGATTTACACCTTCCAAAAGAGCAACTTCATACAAGTATGAAGTGAAGTGTACAACACATATATAGATGTGACGAGTCAGCTAGTCTGATAGTTTTTTCTGATCCTCTGGGTTCTATGACATCAGAGCCGTCGTCGTGACACGTTATACGCTATCAAGTCAATCGAGATTGCCGATTTCGCGCGGGTACATGCCTCGAGGGAAATTTCTCGATCGAACATCGTTTTAGCAAGAGAACATCCTTCTCCCTTCCTTTCCTCCCCCCTCCTCTCTCTCTCTCTCTCTCCTTCCTTCTAACCCTAACCCACTCCTAATGCGACACTCGTGAAAGACTCGTGTTCCAAAGGACGGAAGTCCGTACGACGTTTATCCGCCAAGGAAATGGAGTTGTTGCACAAGCTGCACTTCCTGGTTTCCTTCGGAAGGAGTAAAGCCCGAGAGAAGCTTCTGTGCGAGGGTTCAAGCTGGTTCAATCTGACGTCGCTACGGTGCATTCTGTGTGATTCCCTTCGAATAACTTGAATGAAAATCTCGGGTCTCTGACAACGGGCGGAAGGTTGTTATTGCTTGTTTAGTCTTATCGCGCGATCGAGTCGGGGAACTTTTATTAGCAGCCCGATGAACTTGACGAAACGAACGTCCAACTGAAGATCGTATTTCCTCGGCGCTACTATAATAATATAAACGCGAATTGGATTGTTTCGTGAATGGGCGGGTCTCGTTACCTCGTTCCCCCGCAAAACGATTAGTTTGATAACCCGTGTACATAATTGATTGTGTTTTTATCGACAAAATGCGCCGGCAGGATAAATTACGTTACGCATCGTGTTTGCGCACGATTCGTCGTGCACGTTTGCGTGTGCTAGAATTTATTACTGAAAGTTAACATGATAATGATTATACGCTGATTACATTATAATAACTAACACTAATATTTAATCCCTCTAATTACGTCAAATTAATATACAATCCGATCGTACATAAAGACGGACTTAATTGCTCGCTTCATCTGATTTTATGATGAATTAAGAATGAGATAGAAGAAACGGCGTGTGTTATATCGGGACTTTCTTTCTCTCCGAGAAGCAGGTCGTAAGGAAGGGAATGCATCCGGGATGCATGGCCGCCGCGTTTTCATCGCCTCGTGATCTGCATAATGTCAATTTGCTGATAGCTCCGTCGTCTTCCTTCAATTTCGGCAGCCGTTGCCGTTATCCTGTTCGATGGCGGCGGAATTACTATGGCCGTGGCATAATCCGCGCGTCCTGTAATCGCGCGTCGACGGCTGCAATCTCGGCTCTATTACAGCGAGCTTATGCCGCCCGTCTCGGCCCTCTCGCACTCCCTTGATCGATCAGTGTACAATTCCGCTCTCTTATCTTGCTCGCGCTGCATCTCGGCCTCGAAGGCGCTCGTCGCAGTCGCGTATGTTAAGCAGCTACGTTTTCCACGCTTCACACTTGTCGCGTTTCATCGGTGTTCGAGCCAAGTCACATCCGAGACGTATTTAACTCCGACTCTGCTCCGTGGAATTTGGATTGCAAAGAAGTTTCCCCAACTGTACGGAGAAACGCATCTGCGCTCGCACGACCTTGCGCGTCTAGTCCTAGTGTTTAAACAAATTTCCTAACTGTCAGAGTTACACGATAGTTCCCACCTGAAATTTCCTCGATTTTCCGAGACACAACTTAGCGCATCGGGGGCAGGGGCTTATCTCGAGCGAGAGTGATAACGACAATAAAAATACACGGTAAAATATTCCACTCCATTGAACGACGCGATTATAGCCGAAATAAAATGGGGGGGAATCTTAGTTAGCACGAGATTTCGATTTCAGCCACGAGAGATATTCGTCGGTATTAACTTGAGCGCCAAAGATTGGTGATGTTTGCCGAAAGTGTTACTTCTTCGCTTGCGCTTCGTAGGCGCGATTATCTCGATGCACCGTCCAAGAGAGCGAGAGCGAGAGCGAGAGAGAGAGAGAGAGAGAGAGAGAGAGAGGGGGAGCTGTCTAGCAATCTGCCATCCGCAGAGAAGAGATCTGCACAGACGGTCGCGGGGAATCGACGGGGATCGAGAGAGAAAAGAGAGAGGAGCAGAAAAATAGGGACAACGAGGAGGAGCCCTCTCGCTAGAGAGATCTTTTGTGGCCTGGCAGCTCTCGGCCGAGCGAAAACGAAGACGAGGGCTGTAAAGCCGCGGTTAAAAGACGCGGAAACTGAAACAATGGCCCTCCCGCTCGTCTTCTTGCTCTTCGCGGTTTCAGAAAACATCCCCGCTGTCCCCGTCCCGCCCCGGCGTCGGCGCTTTTTCTTCGTCTTTCTTGCCGGCCTCATCATCGCGATTCTCGCTTTTTGTCCGCTTTAATCGATCCCTCTTCTCTTCTATCCCCCGCCTTCGCGCCGCCCACGCGTCTAATCTCTGCCGGAGGAATGGCCGTTCTTTTTCTCGTTCGACCGCACCGCTAATGGGACGCGAGCGACGGAAGGGGGAGAACCTTGTGGCTTTCTCTATCGCTCGCCTATAATCTCGATCGTCCTATATTTTTACCTAGAACGAAAGATGTCGAAAGCGCGCGTACATGCCAAGCTGGCGGAAATGTCGTGTCCGTATCCCGCACCTTTGCTTGAGAAACAATTTTTCAAACATTTCTCGTGCGTCACGTTAATGGAAAACGACCGAACAGCCGATGAAAAAGAAAATTCGGCAGAAGGTGTCCCGTAGCGACGTTAGTTTTCAAATAATCGTCAACAGTCTCATAGAGCTGTTCGCTCAAAGGGAAAACTGCGCTCATATACACGGATGACAGACTTTTGTTCTTTGGGCAATTCCGGACAGACTCCGTTCAAAACGCAAAAACGTCGCGTCCAACGTTGAAAATGATATCGCCTGCGGGATGAACAAATCACTTGGAAATTGCGTCGGCCCACGGGGGGACGTTCGCGAAAATTGATGAAAATCGTCCGTCGCAGCGACCCGTGTCGAAAGTAATAAAGACAGAGAGACGCGCGCATGTCTACGTCGGGTGGAGGTAAACGTCTCAGTCTTAAGCCGGGCCGAGTGGCTTAAGCTCCGCTCTGAAAAATGATAATAGCGCGGCAAGATTTCTGCGTGATGGCATCTAATGGAATTACGAGAGGCGCCAAGACGGAGGCGCGCGAGGCGGCAGAGAGAGAGAGAGAGAGAGAGAGAGAGAGAGAGAGAGAGAGAGCGGGTTGAAGTGTCGCGGAATAATTAACGAATTTCCCGGAGGGACATAAATCGCGTTTTAAGTGCCGGAAGCCCTATTTTCCGCCGGTGTCCCGCGGAAAACGGCGCCGCGCGCGCCGCAGCGGTGAGATTAGCGTGCGCATTTGTGCGAAGACGAGCTTTTTAATTGGATTATGTCGACCCGGTTTGCGCTCGCTTGCTCGCTTGCTCGTTCACCCGCACCCGCCCGTTCGCCTTTTGTTCGAGGAGAAAGCGATCGCGACAAATAGCCGATCGTTCGTTCGCTCCCTCGCTCGTGCAGCGTATCGAAGTGACTGCGACGGTGGCATTGTTGCACCGCGCTCGGCTATATACAGGTCGTTGCACACGAGAATTTGCATAAGAGACATACTGCTCGCCCGATGCTCGCAGCGCGCGAGCCGCGCCTCGAGGCTCCTTTTCCAGGAATTCAATTTTCCAGCGCGCGTGCGAGATACCTCTCGAGCGCACTCGCGCCATTTCTGTCGGCTTATGTAAATGGGCTAATGGCCTCGTACACAGAGACAGAGAGTATCGCGGGAACCGCGTGTACCGCGGGAAAAGCGCGCACATACCGGAGAAAGCTCAGGTGTGCGCGGCCGCGTGCCGCGGAGTAACGGCGCGGTTTCGTCGCGCCGCGATTCTCGACGGGAGGAGCGTGTATAGGGTATCTCACGGGGATCGCGCGTTTTCCGCACGCAGGCCGTTTTACGAACGCAGGCACGGACTCGCGAGGAATGAAAACGCGTATAGACGCGCGAAGAAAAGTGCTGCTCCGCGTGGCTGCTCTCGCCGTGGTGACACGCTTCGCGACTAGGGTTGCCAATTATCCGGTTTTGTTGACCCGGACTGCCAGATTTTCGGAAGTCTTGTCCAGTGTCCGGTTAATAAGTCAAACCGGACGTCATATATCCGGTTTTTAAGTTATATCCAATCAACGGAATGAAAGTTCAGATTTTAGCAACGTTTCTCCGTTTCAAGCGCAACTACAAACGATCGAGCGCCACGAAAAGCCATCTGGTAGATGATCTGCCGATCCATCATTCCATATATATTAAAAAAGTAATAGTTTATTATTCTATTCAATCAAATGTTGTTTATAAAATTGTTTGAAAATTAATATTGTAAATAAATTCTTGTCATATTTTGTATTTAATGTAACGTTATGATTGTTATTTCTGTCCGGTTTAGTCCGGTTTGGGTTTGTCACCAAAGAAGAAATGTCCGGTAATTTTAACTTTTGGATTTGGCAACCCGAGTCGCCAGGACGAATCATTTCCGCCGCGCGCCATTTCCAGCGAGTATGCGCTTTGTATATTTTACTGGAGATGTCGCGGGATATTAATTCGCACCTTCGCGCGCGCGCGCGCACCGTCGTTGGCGTTCGGCCATTAATCCGATTAAACCCGTCGAATTGCGCAGTCTCCCGCGAGCGCCGCGGCGATGACATTTTTTCGTTGTTGTTTGCGCGGGGACACGTGAAGAAAGTAATTCCTCTTGAAGGATCGCGCTTCTCTGCCGCCGAGGGACGCGCTTAATGACATGTTTGCCTTCGTAATTACAGGTGGGCGACAGAGACACACTCACGTCGGTGGCGGCGAGATTCGACACGACGCCGTCCGAGCTGAGCAAATTGAACAGGCTCGGAAGTACTTTCATTTATTCCGGCCAGCAATTATGGGTGCCGGCAAAGGGAGAAGGACGTCCGGGCGGCGGGCCGACCACCGATGCGCCCAGCCCCGATCCTTGCCACGACCACGAGTCCCAGGACGATCTACCGCCCGAGGAGAAAGGTAATACCTCAAATGTCATTTTCAATTCAAGCGTCCTTCTACTTAAGCTTCTCTTGCAGCTGACTGGAGAAGCTGCTCTCGATACCTTTGTGTTTGCTCAATCGCTCTTATGGATTTTAATCCTTTCGTCCCGCGAACGTCGCAACCGCCTCACGGAGGCTCGCTCTGCGAGTATCGAATTCTTTGAAAGAAAGAGAGAAGAGGAGAGAACAGCTCTCTTGTAGCCGTTTATTATGATGAAGAGAGCAAAGTCTCGTCAGCCGCGATACAATCGGCGCGTCGACTCATCGGGACGAAATCGTTGAGGAGCGAACAATGAATCGAGATAAATTCGCGGTCAACTAGCCGGTCGTGGGTGTTCCGCGCGTCCGCCAAATCCGTCGTCATTGCCCTCACGAGGCGGCAACGAGAGAGAAACATCGACGTCGATTTCCTGCGCGTTGACTGCCAAGGTTAAAACCAGCTTTCGTCTGAGAGCTGGCCACGTGTCCCGGCGGTTGTCAAAATGACTGTTCCTCTCGCAGGCCCGTTACGTGGCGTCGTGATAAATTCCTCCAGAAATTATCGCACTTGTTTATCGCTTGTTTTCGAAAGCGTCCACGTGTGACACACGTCTCGGCCAGCCGAGGCGCTTTTCAAGTCTGTTTTCGATATAACCCGGCTGCGAAAGCAAGCGCCTTCTGCCGAACGACACAAGTTTTTCTGTCTCGCCTGACGTCGACACACGAGGCACACGAGGGCGGCTCGCGTTTTATTCTTATTCCCTATTCGGACTCGAGCGATTCCGTCGGTTTGATCCGCGCGACGACAACGACCACGGCGCCGACGACGACGACGACGACGACGACGACGACGCCCGGAGGTCCTGTATCCTGTTGCGCATTATGCTAACACGCAAGACAGATTTAATACGTGTAACGCGCGGTATGAATAATACAGCAGCTCTCTGCGAGAAGCGGCTGAGCTACGCATGGGCTTGCGATACGCGCTAGATTGGCTCACCTGACTAAACACATCCAGAAGAATTGGGATATCGATATTATCTGAGTGTGTACAAAGTCGGCCGCCACGAATGAATATTAATGCGCCGTCACGTCACGTTACGTGTTGTCTCTGGGTACCGGCGGAAAAAGAGAGGGAGAGAAAGGCTGCGGGAAGGGAGAGGGGGACAGAGATCGATACAGTAATGCCATTGTGACTAACGTGAGCGTTTTTTCCACGTTGTTTGCTTGCCGTCGTTGTCGTCCGTCGTTGTCCTCGCACATGGAAACCCCCACACACACACACACACACACACACACCTGTCAATTATCGGCGAACACGCATATTCGAGGCGTTCGTTCGTCTGGCGCGAACTAATCAGGATAATGTTCGGCGAAGCCCGTCGCACCTCGCCCTTAAGTCCGCGTGACGGAATGTTGGATCATTCGGAAATGATCGTACTCTCATTCAAGGTGAATCCTAATAATAAAGAGCTGCTTGCTCGAAAATGCCGTATAGGAGAATTTAATTAGGCGCACCTTATCTCGCTTGTTTCATTCTTTTTCCTTCGGGACTCTCCTCTGATGCGCTCAACCGATATAGAATATTTAAAGAAGGCCAAATCAATCAAAAATTAAGATTTGCAGATATATAAAGAACGAGAAATTCATATGTTAGGTGTCGTAAGCAACGTTGAAAATTGTCTACAGGCTGGGTGTTCTCTTTTTTTGTATATCTCATCTCTGCTCGTGACATGTGCATTTATAATGAATGCTTCGCATTAATAGTCATGATATTGACGACTCGCATATGAAAGTATCTAATTTCCGGCGAGACATAGTTCTCCGATTATTCGCGAATGATAGCCAATTAATTTCTATACATGGTACGTCCACGCGAAAGGAATATTAGCGCTTACGTGCCGAAAATACTCGGTTCCATCGGTGTTACACAATATACGTGACTCACGGACGCCAGTCGGCCGTTTAGCGGGACAATAGCCGAACAGATTGTTATGCACACTTGCTCAAACTTGAAGTTTATTTGTGTCTTCTTCGCGAGCAGCCACCACCACCACCGCTGCCGTCGTCGTGTCGCATTAGTCGCGCTATAGCACGTATCATGCATGCGATCGCAATATTCGCGGAGCGCACGTTTACGCGTCGTCACGTTTTGCAATGTCGACATGCGGGGAAGAAGATGGTGTCAATGGGAGCGAGCGACGTCTTTCGTGGACTTCCATCTTTTGTAACATGCGACTAGAATGGCCCGCACGGCGTCCGCCGCGGAAAGCGCAATTTCGTCGCGGAGGTAACTTCAAGTTTCGTGCGAGTGATATGCGGTAGTTGCACGTCGTATGTAAGAACTGTCGTTGGAGAAGGAAAGGAGAGCACGGTGTGCTGGAAGATTCTCCTCGTGGAGATCCCGGGTCCTGGTAGTTTTGGAACATCTTGTATATCACCTTGGACTTTATCACTTTATCATTTTTCGCGTACGATTCGTATTCGCGGTTTCACAAAGTGAAACAGACGCCGCTGGTGATGACGCGATATTTTCGAACATAAATCAATCGTGAGAGAGCTTAAAGAGATTACAAAACAGACGAAAGTCCAAAGTGATCAGTCATCTAATTATAATTTTTCCAGTTCAACGGCTTTTTAATTTCTTTTTCTAATTTTTTCAAATCTTACTCTTTCACCTTCTTTTTATCGTTGCGTTTGCACGTGACGTTCGAAAATCTAGGAGGGAAACATCTCCAAAGTGTTTATTCGGTCCACCCGGTATATCGTCAGCTGATCGACCACGGCGCATAGCGCACTTTAAATATGGTACGCGCCAAGCTAACCTAACCTAACCCCGCACGCCTGTGTAACAATGTCCATGTAACAGTTGTGATATCGTGGCAGATGAAACTCCGATGAGATTACTGATTTCGTCGCAATTGTACATGCATGCGCGTCGCATTGCGACGAATAACGAGTCATCGGAATTTTCTGGATGTGAGGTTAGGTCGAGCCACTGACGTGTGCGAGTGGGATGTAAATAAGCATCAGACGACTGACAAGCCTTCCGTAAAGCGTCATTAGATAACCGAGTCGTATCCTCCGCTGTTTTAAACATCACGAGACTTTGAATCAAGATCATTATCAGCACACTATCAGCTGCCTGAAAGTGATAAAGGTTGAAATAAAGTGCGTATTATCATAGTTTTTCCGTGCCGTCGTAAATGACGCGATCAAGAAATGCAGAGCCGTTGTGCTGCGTTAGGGATTATCGAGAAAAATCGATCTGACACTTCTATGGTATATAATATTATATAGCAGCATACATATGCGTGATTTTATGACACGTGTTCTCGTTTTCACTCTATTGCAATGCTCTTACCCTGAAATCGTTTGATTTTCCAGAGCTCTTGGACAATCTGAGACCAGTGTCACCAAAACCAGGCCATATGGAGCGCATAAAAACACCTCTTGGGACTTCCAATGTAACCACAGAGGACGATGAACAACCATTTAGAGAAAGATTTCTCAAAATTAATGTTCGACATATCACAGATGGTCAGGTAATGTCTCTCTTGTGTCTTGTAGGCTTTCCATGTGAATTTTGATATTTCTTTTGACACTTGAATATTTTTCCAGGGTGTGGTTGGTGGTGTGCTGTTAGTTACGCCAAATGCAGTCATGTTCGACCCTAATGTGTCGGATCCTCTTGTCATTGAGCATGGTGCTGAATCTTATGGAGTGATTGCTCCAATGGAGTTTGTAGTGAACGCTGCGATTTATTATGACATCGCGCACATGAGAGTCTCTCATACCGAAACCGGCAATTTGGATAAGAAACCTGAGATTTACTACATGAAGAAACCCCAAATAGATAATCGTAAGTGCCAGTCTCCTGGTAAAGATGAGAATTTTCCTGAACTGGCGGGTGACGATAGCGAGAGCGTGTGTAGCAGCGCCGAGAGAGATGGCGATGCTTTTCCAAAGGCCTTCGAACGAGAGCTTGTCACTCCTACAAATCTCCAAACTGTAAGTGTCTCTTTTGTAGTTGGATTGGATCGTGGATCAAACCAAGTCGATGTTTAAACTAGTAAATAACGTGTGAAAATAACGTTTGTTGCAGGAGGAGAGCTCAACTTCGACCAAAGATAAAGAGAAGGAGAAAGATAATGGCGAGAAGGAATTTTGCAGCGGCGGTCAAGGTAGCAGAACGTTAGAGGAACGTAGACGCTCAATGCTGGATCATCATTGGGCAGTTCCTAGTAAAGACCGGAGTACATTCTCTGTCGACGATGAGCAACAGGACTCGCTAAATTCCGACAAGGTGAGCAATCTTCATTATAAAAGAATGTATAAAATGTATGGTGCGCGAGTAATTATAAGAAGAAATTAACAAAATCGGCATGTAAATAAATGTCACAGGCGGAGCCAGCGAAATCAAATGCTATTCCCGAGGATGAAGAAGGATCTCTAGTCAAATTGTCGTGCCATGATTCTGGTATCGATATCCGCGAGCCCAATCCACCTATTCCGATAGTTCAGCCTATGCCGTCAAAAAAGGTGTATTCAGACGCGGATATTGTTTTATCTTCCGATTGGGTTCCTCCAATAACGATAGCGCCGACAAATATTACGAGCTCGTTGGAGGCAGGCTCTGCTATTAATGGCAGGAAGAAGGCCAGCTCGGTGTCCTTTAGTTTAGAGAGTAACGCGGAAGAGCAAGAGAAGGACGAAGACCACAAGGAAGACGATAAACAGGAAACACGAAGAAACAAGGTATGTTTAAGTTTGACGTTCGCATCGTGACAACAGTACCGTTATTGTTTACGTCTGTGTATTGATACATCTCACGTATTCGCTCTGATATTTAGATGCTGAAACGTCTGTCGTATCCGTTGTCCTGGATGGAAGGATTAACTGGAGAGAAGGAGGACGACAGCAAGTCTATTTCTGATAAAGTGTCGAGCCTTCCAAACAGTGCGGATTCTCACCATTCCTCCGTTTTCAGCAAAGTTTTCTCAAGGTGAACAAATTTATGTCACTTTATATTTTTACGATTCTCTGCGAAATAATCCAGCGAGCTCGAGTTACCTTAAGTATACGACATAGGATTTTCATAAGTGCTTCCATAACTCTTCATTCTTCTACATTTGTCTGTGTTAAGAATGAGCAAACGCGTTCCTGCAGAGGATTTGCATATATCGAAAAGACAAACACTCTCAGTTATTGTCCCAGGTCTCTTATTTTCTGTGACGTAACATTTATTTATCATTTGCTTTTTGCTGACTTTTAGACAACATGAGCACAAGTGAGGTTATCCGCGGATGAAAATTGCGCCTTATGCGCAACATTATCAACTGTTGGTGCGTAAAGTTAACTTTCAATTAATTTATCCTCATGAAACCCGTGTAGCCTCATTTGTTGTAATATAGCGTACATTAGCTACTTGCATAGAGTGAGAGAGTGGCTTCTTGCATACGAGAACCATTACGAAACAAAGCTTGTGGAAGGATATAACTAAAGGTATACGTGAGAAAGATTTAATCTCGGTCCAATTGCCGTTCTTCAAAATTATCAGCTATCGCTTATCGATCGATCGAGATGTCTAAGTCGAGGGATCTTTATGTCGCGCTTAACGTTGCTTGCGATTACAAGTTTAGACTTGACTAACGCTTTACTATCATTTCTAATGTAACTAACAAAAAAATATGTAATGGTGGTGGATAAAAGCTCGCCGATCAACCTGGTGAGTGACTTTAGCTCGGGCCTGTTTGCTAAAACCCCCAGCGAAGAGAGTGGTGGGGGCGGTAGAGCGGGCGGAACTCCTCCGCTCACCGCCTCCTCGCTCTCCCAGGACTCCAGCAATCCTCAATTCTCACCTGGTCCAGGAGGCCTCATAGGGTGAGTCTGGACCCGATCGTGACCCTACATTGTTGTATTCCCTTTCCCCGTATCCTCTCTGTTCTTCACTTGTTTTTTACTCTTTCTAGTAAGACTTCGTCTTACTCTTTACTTTCTATATCTGTATTTATCTGTGATTTCGTGAATGTTTTATTTCGGTAGAATCCTCTCTCGCACGTTGTGATTGTTATCGCGCTTTAATTAGAAGCTGTAAATACAAAATGTCGCAAAGTATACGAGTTGCCGGTATAATTCTTCTGAAAATTGAATTTTAAGATTATACCCAGAGGATTCTACAATTTAAGCGCTTCTCCCTCCCGTACATTCTTTCATTGTTTTCGCTGTTATTATTTTATTGCCAAAAACATTCTGGGATTGAGGCTCCTGCTTTCAGGTAAATCATACTACTTGCCGAAAAATCGGCTCAGATTATAGACATACTGCCGATAGATACTGCTCTCCAGATTGCTTACAGCCAATACATGATCAATTTAACACTGTTTAGTATCCCCTCTCCGCAGCTACATGATTTATTTCATATATTGTATACTGGATACGCCTTGATTGTTAATCCCTTGTTATATTATTGTTATTAATGTGTTATTGCATACGTCGCTTTCTGAACTACGAGAACGTGCGCACTCGAGTAGAGTATCGCGTGTCTCAATGAGATGTCTGGCAGCCACTAATTAACACGTGCTCGTTGTTCAGAAGCGTGTGGAATGTTGTTTCACACGAGAAACTCTCTCTCTCTCTCTCTCTCTCTCTCTCTCTCTCCTCTCTCTCTCTCTCCTCTCTCTCTCTCTCCTCTCTCTCTCTCTCCTCTCTCTCTCCTCTCTCTCTCTCCTCTCTCTCTCTCTCTCTCTCTCTCTCTCTCTCTTTCTTTTTTTCTCTGCATTGTAGTTATTTATTCATCAATCTCCTTTTTCAGACGCTCTTCCGTGGGTACTTTCATCAGACAGCAACCCTTGACATCCTCCGGCAGTAGCAGCGTCGACAGTAGTCGAGGTAGTAAGACCTCGACGACGGCACCGCGTTTAGACTACCGCAGTATGGTCTCGGTCGAGGATATGCCGGAGTTGTTTGTGAGTTTCGACAGTAAGTATCACGGTCGTACAGGACTTTTATTCGTAATATACTTCATGTTCTTATCGGAATGGACAGTCTGATAATCGTGAAGACATATATCACTCCAACAGAGACTCTCCCTTTACACAAAACATTCATCATTGTTACGTTGATACGTTATTGACATTAGAAATATATATATGTATATGTGTGTATATATATATATATATATATATATATATATATATATATATATGATATAAATAATATATATATATATATATATTATTTATTGATAGTACACAACAGAGAGAAAACTTAAATGGGCGATGATAAAAATGACAAATGGGATATATACATCACGCACTGCACTTGCCCGAACGCCATATACAGCTTTTTAACGATGTTGTTTTGCAACTTTATTGTCTTATTCTTAGAAAGAATCTCGAGCGCGTTTGGCTGTAAATTATTGCGGTTGTAACATGGAAAAAGGTAATCTCTCATGATTTCTAAACATGAAATTTTTCTTCATGATGCGGAATATTTTTTATCAGGATTCGGTAACCAAATGCGCTTTTCTGGCTGTATACTAAAGTAGTTTACCATTGCTGTAGATTATATTTGTTTTTCATTACAAGTTTGTGTATCACGTTCCATTGAATTTAATATTATCGCCTTTCTTCAGTCTCTATGAGACATTTAGTATAATCTAGTATAATCTGGGAGAGAGAGAAAGAGAGAGAGAGAGAGAGAGAGAGAGAGAGAGAAATTCAGTTTGCATCATGTAGAATTCATTTGACGTTGATCACCTTCACTTACGGTCATCGATCACTTAGCTTGGATTACGATATCACTGATACATTAAATACATACTTCTCTGAAACGGCATCTCAGCATAAATATTCAACTGAATAAGCATTTATATATATAACATACATTCTCCCGACAAAACAAATATATACGAATACATCTCCAGAATCTTGAAACCCTTTGTGCCGCTGCATTGTCAATTTTAATTGCATGCGACGAACGCGCGTCTTGTTTAGACAACTTTTTACTTGCGTTTTAATACTTATACTCAGCATCGAACTTTGGGATTTCACGTGTATTAATATCTTCTGTAACAATCGAACGATCGTGCCATACGCCAAGCTACATCTTTCTGCCTCTCCGGGTGACGTTCGATCGTTACAGAATCCAGTAGTAATTTGTTTGTACGTTTCCGCATAAATTGCTCAGTCATCCTTCTATCTTTCTCTCCAGTAATATTTTATCTATTTCAGATTAGCACAACGGGTTTCATCATTTGGCTAGCAATAGGTTCATACTAATGCAGTAATGTCATTTGTTTCTGTTGTCCCTCTAGTCCAAGCACCTAATTTTCCCGAACTCGAAGGCCTGGGTAGGTTCATACAGTATTAGCTTGCTCTTCTCTCCTTGTGCCACGAACTCCCGATTTTTCGTTTGCCTCTCTTTTTTCTTTCTTTCTTTCTTTCTTTCTTTCTTTCTATCTATCTTTCTTTCTATCTTTCGTCTTTCGCGCGTCTTCTCCCGATCGCGTGACGTTGTTTCTGTCTGCTCCTGATTTTATATTGTTATGCATTAAACATGATTTGCGCAACTATTCGCGGATGACTGTATACCGCGTCGCTGCGATGGTTGATATTTCAATTTCATCACGATTTCTTGCTGCACGTGCATCCTGTCGAATTCTCCCACATTGTCTCTGTACGACTGTACTACTAATATTATTATACCTGTCGCTATGTCGTCGTTGTTATCTCGTTATTCTGTTCACATAATGATTCTCTTACTCTGACACTCTCCACTACTCACTCTTTTTTTTTTGTGGTAATGCGCTTGCCTCATTTTTCAAGTTCTACATGTACTTTAAATTTGTTTCTGTGTGATTTACGTGTGATTTGAATAGTTGTTAAAGAAATGCGGATACAACAGTCGGAAGTGCGAAGGAGCTTCTTATTGCAAAGATATTTGTTTATTACAGCGAAATCGCGCGAATCCCACACCCCTGTCGCCTATATATTTTCGCGGATTAGATATACAAATATCTACTTCATATCGGATGTAAAGAAAAAAAAGAAAGAAATCCGTCGGCCGTAACATCTTGATTTGATCGAGCCGTCCGACCGCGATGTGCTAATGTGCATTCTCTGCATTACACAGAACTGATCCCACGACCGGCGCGTTCCTGCGAAGACCCACCGTTGTACCTGAGATTACGCACTGGCAGACCGAAGGACAAGAAGATACCGCGGTCCACACCGATAATGAGCTACGGAAAGAAGAAACTGCGTCCCGAATACTGGTTCAGCGTGCCGCGCAACCGGTAAGTGTTCTTCATTCTTCGCTAGATTACACACTGCCTTCTGTGACAATTCCCTCGAGTTCCAATGCACCACGGACGTTATCACTTCGAGGTCTTTGTTCTTGCGCTACATGTTGCAATCGTTCGAAGCGTTTGCAATCTGTTCTCTAGGATGCGAGTCATACGTCTGATCTTAGAGATGAACATTCGTGCGATCGACCGGTTGAGCGAAGTAATTTTTACCCGAAATCTCCGACCTCTTTCGATCAGATTTGTTCGCGGGCGTTTAATACAGCCTCAGGTTCAGTCTAAAAATTCGTCGATCGAGAAATTGATAAGAGACAAGGGAGATTTCGGCTTCTCATTGCTTTTCTCCCCTCACGATCGTGCGTGTACGAACGAGAGGAGATCACGCTCCTCGGAATTCGTCGCATTCCCGAAATACGTATTTTTACACGTCGGGAATTTGTTGTTTTTCCTGCGACCAACGAGTTCTCGTCAGAGAGGAGAAAAAAGCTACGCCTCGTTGTCCGTGATAAGTCAATCGGTCGGTCGGTCGTGCCAAAATAAATATTCGCCGGCGACGTTTCTTTTCTTTTTCTTTCCTACAGAAAGGCGCGTTGAATTCCCTTCGTGCGAAAACGCTCGCCGTGTTATTTTTGCGTATACGGCCGACGTGTGCATACACACACGCGCGCACACATACGTACGTACGTTTCTACGCACGACTACCAGAACGTTACGACCGGACACGTGCTTCGTCGCGAGGGAATCGCAAAATAGATCTTCGCCTCTCCGCCGCCGGATTTTCTATTTATACACGCGCCGATGCTCGATCAAGGTTTACCGCGCCGCGGCCGCCGGTGTTTTGCTTCGTTCGGGCTTGCGGATGTATTTAAAAACCAGCGGATTGACGAAATAATGAAGCACACTTTTCGCGCGTTAGACATAACATCGTTGGACGCCGTCGAGCGTGTACAAGCGCGTTAAATCAAACAGAGAACGTCGCAAAATCGCTCGTCGCCGGAGACGACGCGCAACTTCAATGTCCCGCCGCGGCCGGAGCCGCTCGTTATCTGGTTCCGCATTTCTCCACGGCGAAAGATATTTATGATTTTCGTTTCGGAAGAAGAACACGGATCTGCGTCGTTCTCGGTTGAGATATCGATCTCGCTTCGCGGAATTTCAAGTCGGTCGATCACACGCGATTCGCACGCATCTTGTTATCTCGTTGGATTCTTTTTTCGGCGGCCATTTGTTTGTCACGAAAGCCTATCGGCCGATTCGCGGTATTGCGATCGCATCGAGCAAAAATATACGATTAAGATTATCTCGAGTGGCGCCGCACCGGGTCGAGATTTATCGGCGGCGATCGGTCGCGGTCTCGCAATTCCACGTAGCAATTTGCGTTCTATGTAAGCGTTTTCTTTCTTATATCACCGATTAATCGCGATTAAATTTCCAAAAATAGAAATTCCAATAGAGCCCGCGCGTTCATCGCGAGATTATCAAAGTCGTCGACGTGATGACTGAAGCGAAAGAAAATTGGACTACCTTGTCTCGCATCCGTTATGCTAATATATTTCAAAGCATCACAGTCGAGAACAAATGAAGAGCAGTTAAATGATAAAAATGAGCACCTAGAATTCGCAAAAGACACAACTGCATCTTTATTCATTGACTCTTATCTCTCTGGCTCACGGCCGTGTGTTTCTCTTTAGAATGCACGACAATCCCGAACACATTGCGACAAATTGCGCGTTTTGCGATTGTAATTTTACAACAGCAGCAGGCTTGCAAAACCGTCGCGACGGTGAAAAGACCGACCGACCGACCGACGACGACGACGACGACGACGACGACGACGACGCGCGCGCGCGCTTGCGGAACGAAGCGCGCGGTATCAGGGAGTCGCGATATTTCTCTCGGCGACGCCGAGACCAAATACACAAGTGCAGGTGTACCGACAGCGAATCAGCACGTGACGCGTAACAAGTCACTTCGACGTTCGCGACGTAGCTGCCTGCCGCTCTCGGTGCCTTCCGTTTGTTTTGCGTGTGGAAATAATAATACGTTCCCGTCGCGTGTGTGTATCCCGAACGATTCCGGAGGAACGGGTGGAAAGGTGCACCTCCCGACGGAGGAAGACGTCGGCGAGGAAGCTGAAAAAAGGGCTCGTGGCCGACACAGGTGGTCGTCGCTATCGTCGTGGTCGTCGGGAGGAGGTTAGAAGAGCTGATAGCGCATCGAGTGCGAAGTCTCGAGTTAGGTAATACGCGTCCCGTTACGTCGCAGCTGACACGTTGTTCCGAGCCGCTGGTGCGCGTCGACGCCGTCGTCTGCGTTGTCCTCGCGGACGTGTCTCTGTCCCGGACGGACTATCGTTCTTCCGTTTCGTCGCGCGATATCGCGACTGTGAGTTGGACGATGAACACGTTCGCCGGTATGTTCAGCTCGATGTACGAGCGGGTCAACGTGATGCCCTTCTTGCAGCGCAGGTAAACACGTGAACCGATGCGACGCGCATGTTTGTTTTTCTCTTTCTCCCGAGTATGATAACGCGGTAACTGACGTATGTACGTTTCCGTTTTTCTCGCCAGAGTGGACGACCTGTATAGGTTCATTCACGCGTGGGTGCCGACGCTCTATGGCGAGCTCGACGAGAATTACTGGCGGGAGCGCGGCTACATCCTGTCCGACACCGACACCGATCTGTCGCCGGAACTGTCGCCGCACGAGGCCGGCGAAGGCGCCGATTCCACGGAGGAGGGCAAGACTCGCGGCCACGACGGCGATGAGATCACAGAACTGACGAGGGAGTCGTGGGAGGTGAGTGCGCAAGCAACATATAAGCCGTTCGTGCGTCCGTCCGGCACGTCGCCAAGACGGTGACGATTGGCGGATAGGAAAATATTGCTTCCGAGGAATTGGCAATTGGCTCTTTTTCCGCGGCTCTTGACAATACCCGACGTGCGAAGACCGAGGAAGAAGTTTACCGACTGAGATCGGCAAGTAAAAGTAGTCTCGGTCGAACTCGCCGTGGACCCGCGTTTCGAAATTCTACGGCGAAAAATCGCGCAGTTTTTCACGACGAACGCGACACACCGATCCTATCACCGATTTCGGTGTCGCGTTGAACCCGAAGAGAAAGAGATTCGATATTTCGCGCCGATCTCTTTCTCTCTCTCTCTTTCTCTCTCTCTCTCTCTCTCTCTCTCTCTCTCTCTCTGTCTCTCTCTCTCTCTCTCCGCGGCATTCGCGACATCGTTCTTGTGTATTTTACTGATAACTCGATCCTCACGTCGACCGGCTGCATCGAGCTCAAACGCGCGTCAAACGACACGGATTCGCGCTGGCGTTATCGGTAACGCTAAACTTCAGCCTCGCTGCTGTGATTCGGCCACTGATCTCGCATTCGTCCTCTTGGTCGGCGTGAAAACGCGCGGCCTTCGTCGACGCGGGGATCGCGCGAACGGTTAGACCCGTCGCGATCAGGAAACTTGCTAAACACGGCCGATTGTATTGGCTGACAGCTGATCAAGGCCCCCTACGTAAAGCTGTACAGCATCCTGAAGACCTCGAGCACGTTGGCCGATTCCGAGCAGATCCAGGATCCGGAGGTATCGATATATACCCTCCCTCCTTCCTTTCTCGCGGTGATCGCGATGACGCATCTTTATACGTACTACATATATATAGGCACCCTAATTGCTCGATGTTGAACAATGCACCTCTCTTAGATAACACCGCCGCACCCTAGACCTCGTTTATAGATCTCTTAGGGTGCACTCCGTTTTTGTCATGCGATGTTTTGCGGCCGTGCCTTTACCGTTTTGTGTTTCACTTTAGCTACCGACCACCAAACGCCGCTTTGTCCGCTTCGATGGTTTAATCGTGTGTCGTCGGCTGTGCGTCCGACCGCGACACTTTTGTGCCCGTTTCCCCGCGCTCGTCGACGTTCGATTTCAAGCTCAAGCTGAGCCCCAACCCTCGACCGCGCCGAAGGTTGAGACTCGATTGAAGCTCTTTCGATGTCGACGTCGGTGCGTCGACAGGAACGGTGCGTTTTTAGTCCCCGCATCGCGGGGGTAGTCTAGAGATTCTTTATCGAAGTGCCGCTGTACTTGCACACACTCTCTCTCTCTCTCTCCCCCCCTCTCTTTCCTTCCCCCTCTCTCTCTCCCTCTCTCTCTCTCTCTCTCTCTCTCTCTCTCTCTATCTCTCTCTCTCTCTGTCTCGTTATCTCGCATTCTCGCGTTCCTGCAATCGAGGCTCATGTTTATGTATCTTTGCATACAGACAATGATTCCGCGGAATCTTTAATTGAGCTTCGTCCAGTGGCGTCCGTCACGTAACGATTGAACTTTCTTTTGTTGCTCTCGGACTTTTTCTCTTTTTTCTCTTTTTCCTCTCGGGTCGGATTTGGTCGCTTAGGGTTTCCACCGCCTCGATCGATCGCACACCACCGCCGGAAACAAACTGCATGCACACCACCTGTGCCCCTCCTCGTCGTAGAATGTACTCTCAGTTAGAACTTAGATGGATGTGCAGCATGCACTTCACTCGGTACTCTCTTCCACTTTGACTCGCGCATGTATAGTGTATCTCCCTCTCTCTCTTCTTTTTTTTTATCGTTTATACATATCCACGTTATTACCGTATCTCTCTCTGCGTGTCGTCGCGGTTTCCGTTCACCGCACTTCCCGTGCGAATTTCCATCCGCACGGTCGGCTATTAATCCCGCACCGCGATCGCGTTTCTCGCGCAAATCAATGCTGCAAAAAGTAAAAATAGGGAGATTATCGATCTCAAGGCGAGACGGAGAGACGTCAACAAATATCGAGTAGGCGCTGTTGTGTGCTGCGTGAAAATGAAAAAAACATAATAGCGTCCGGTTGCGCACGGCGTAGATGCGAGTGGAGCCGCCTCACGCTAATGGAATTTGATCTCTCTCTCTCTCTCTCTCTCTCTCTCTCTCTCTCTCTCTCTCTCTTTCTCTCTCTCTCTCTCTCTCTTCTGATTGTTATTAAAGAGAATCCGATATAATATATCCACGTGTGGAAAAGTTCCACGAATAATATCGCCGTGCGACTCGCAGAACAGCCAAAGTTCATGCACATTCTTGCGCGTAATAAGCGCCACGTGCATGTCGCATTATGTAAACATCCGACAATATAGATCAATGTGTGTCATAGAGTCATACTCTTTGAACTGGTTGGCCATTGCATAATAGCGATGCATTATGAATGAGAATTGACACAGTCGGTGCAAATTGACACAGATGTGGCGGGGAACGTTTCTCGGAAAGATATCTCTTTGCGCGCTCGTTCTCTCTCTCTCTCTCTCCCTCTCTCTCTCTCTCTCTCTCTCTCTCTCTCTCTCTCTCTCTCTCTCTCTCTCTCTCTCTCTCTCTCTCTCTCTCTCTCTCTCTCTCTCTCTCTCTCCTCTCTCTCTCTCTCTCTCTCTCTCTCTCTCTCTCTCTCTCTCTCTCTCTCTCTCTCTCTCTCTCTCTCTCTCTCTCTCTCTCTCTCTCTCTCTCTCTCTCTGCGCGACAACGTGGTGTGTGTTTTGCGCGAAATTGCGCCCTGCGATGCAGTATCGAAAGTTAAGTAGGGCCACTTTCTTGCGAGTTTCTTCCCGGTTTTCGACGCGGCAGCATTTCGCAGCAGAGACGAGAGTGAATCATCGGTTAGCTAAGTTTCGCGAGCACGATCTCCCGACACGGGAATAAATAAACTTCTTATCGAGGCGAACAAAGTGTTGGTTGAGAGGAGATTACGGCGTACGTTGACGATCGTAATCAGATATCGATTCCGGGTAATAAAAATTGACCTCTCACGGCGATGCGAAATCGCGACAAAACATTTCGCCGGGACTCGCGTAACGACAGCCGTAAGTATTCGGAATATTTGGTTTGTGATATCTCGCCGGTGTGATTTCGCGACCAAGGCGAACGGATCCCGCATGTAATTGCAGTCATAAAGGCATTTCTTATGTTTATATATATTTCCGATCCGACCAGGCAAAAATAAACGATCGGATATCACGAGCCAACCGCGTACGCCTTCGTTTATTTTCAGATTTCACGCGGCGTTTACCGCGTAAAGCAAAGCACAGCCCGCCAGAGATGCATCCGGTGCAGATTTTACTTGAAACGACCGCCGCGCTGGAGAGATATATTCGCGAGAAATTTTCTACGAGGGAGAAGGAAGAGAGGGGTGACCTTTTCTTTCTCTCTCGGCTTATAGGGCCAATTTGAATTTACAAATAATACGCGCACACCTTATGCTCTCTCCTGAGGAGCTCTCTCTCTCTCTCTCGAGGAGCCCCTTTGATAAAACTTTGCTTCGAATTCGAGATTGGATTTATATCGCTTCGCACGGAAACGCGCGACACACAGTTTTCCTTTTGCCACATTTTGCTTGCGGCAGCTCGGGACGCGGTTGCACGAGCGAACAGACGATCCTCGTTCGCTAGAGGGGAGCATCCGCCCGACAGAATTTACAACGTCTGCTGGTAGAGCACGTGCTGCGCGGCCGGGGATGCGCAATCGCGAGGAAAGCGTCTGTCGGAGAGAACACATATGCCGCTCGTTTTTCTCCCCTCCTTGCGCGCTCCTCGCGCGCGGCTCATATGAACGTATTAGATTTACCCCGAAAGCTCCAGTGCGGCTTCAGTCCTCGCGAAGTGAAGTTTGTATTGTTGCCCGATAAATCGTGTATAAGAGGGAGAGAGAGGGAGAGAGAGAGAGAGAGAGAGAGAGAGAGAGAGAGAGAGAGAGAGAGAGAGAGAGAGAGAGAGAGAGAGAACTCGAAACGAGTAATGGGAGATTAAAAAAGATCAGAGTATGCAAGGGAAAGGCGAGGGATTGGATAATGCGGTTTGAAACGCGCGCGCACGCGACTGGAGTCACGTATCGATGTTTTGACGCAGTTTTCAGGACGATCGCTCTAACGAATTCAAACAGGAGTGTTAAGAGGCAGTGTTAGTAGAGGCTGATTAGTAGTGCGCGCGTTGTGCGAGCATTTCTGGAAGAGCGTCGTGTTTATATTCCGGAAGGTGGAATTAGGTCGCGTTACTTCGCCGTGGCTCGTCGCCTGTTGCTCCTCGATCCTCCCGCGGGGGGACTTCGCGCCGGTCGAGCGAGCGTGATTATTCGAGTGTAAAAGCATAATGTAAACGAATCTCACGATCCTCGTCCTGCGTCGACCGGGAGAGCGATCGAGAGAAGGGAGGAAACAGTGAATCGCGCGCGCGAGCAGTCGAAACTCGCGCTGCGGGCACAAGCGGCTGGCCGCAATTTTTAAAAACGCTCGTCGAAGGTAACCGAGAGCCGAGGATGCCGAGGCCGAAGATGCCGAATCCGATCTCCAAGATCACCAAGTTCCTGAAGCAGAAAACGAAGGTAAAGGTCAGAGTTGAGGAACGTGCGCGCCTCTCTTTCTCGATTCGCACGCGCTCCACGAATTCCGCGGCCGGGGCTCGTGCGAATGTGGATCGGCAATGTAGAGTTTACGTGCTTACGTAATGCATAAACAAGATTCTGTCCCGGGAGGCGCGACCGTATCGGAATGTTTCGACGTGCCGATCGCCAGCTATAGCGCGCTAATTAGAACGCGGCGGCTCGCGAGCGCTTTCGATTCGAAGCGTTATTATTCGATACGCGAGACTTTCGAGCTGCAAAGCTACAAAGCTTCGACAAAGTTCGAAGAAAAGCTCGCGGACGCTCGCTCCGAATGGATGGCCACTCCTAAAATAACAATTGTCATGGTCGCATTACGCAATTATCGTAATACCGGTGTTTGAGGCGAAGTTGAAATTACGCAAACGGGACGGGCGATTATTCGTGCGCGGTAATCGCGCACGTAACGTTTTTACGCGTCCGAGGAGAACAATTTCGGCAATCCGCGGGTACGAGAGTTCGTTCGCGCAGATTTGCGATCTGTTTCACGTGTAATTCGCGCGCTAATGGCCTGAGAAGAGCGGCACTTTGCGCGACTCGTATTTACAACCGGTCTTTGGCCGAGCCTAAGCTCACCTTTCACCGAACCAGAAAGACCGTCACCGCAAAACGCGCGTTCCAGCGTCAGCTTTTATATCAGCTCGGAATTATGGCAATAACGCATATTAACGGCGTTGTTACTCGCATAATGCGCTAATAATATACTTACAGCGTCACAATGGCTTTCAGCTAAGGCTCTTAAGGCTGGAATGGGCCGAAAAGAGTCGATATATTTTTCCCGGAAATTTTCCTCTCTTTCTTCCCGCTCGAAGCACCGCCTATTTGCGCTCGAAATTGATTTTCGTCCGTGCTTTAAACAAATCCTCGCCTCGGACGACTCGAGTTCTGAGAATGTATTTCTGACTTTGTCGAGAGAGATCAAAGATATTTATAACGAACAGATTGGAAATGTTGGATTTTCCGTGACAGAGTTTTGAAAGTCGACGTTATGTATAAATGCAGAGAATAATTAAACTATACGATATACATGTAGAGTAAATAAAATTATTTAAATAATCATATGCAGGAGAGAGGAAAAAATTTATATCGCGCGCGCGTAATTTTCTGATTTTTCGCAGTATTCTCCAAGTTGTGAACCTTTCAAATGACGCGTCGCCA